TACCTTTTTTAACAAAAGCCTCGATAAACTCTGTGTTTAAGAGATCGCTGACATGCAGCTTATTTATTCGATAATAATCTGTATCCTTTGATAGACAATTGTGTAAATTTTGAGGAACAGTAACTGTATCAGGTAGTACCACGGATATCTGACATACAAAAAACAAAAATTGATTAAGATGTTATTTTGAGAACTTGCTGAATTTTAGAAGAAGTTATTAGCTTACTGAATGATTAAAGTAATGACTCTTCACTAATGCGATTGCATTTGCATTCTTCATTACATCCAGATGTAATGTAGCAGTGTAATGTGATAGTGGTTCGAAATTCCATGTTTCCGGGCATAACATGTTTTCTTTTCTTCTTCCTAAATTTTTGCTTTTATTAGAAGAAAGCATTACTATTAACACTTAATGCACATGATTCGGTCATTCGTTCCTTTTCTTTAAAACATTTGGTTAAATAATGATCTCTATCTTTTTTTTTAATATACATCTTTTTATAAATCTTAAAAATGTTAAAATATATGTAAGATTTATTTAATAATCCATATATACTTGTAAAAATGATGAAAATAAATTCGGAATGATTCACCATGTGTAGTAAAGAATATCATCGTATATGCTAGATTAAATTTAATGATATTTAACTTATTATTATATGCATTCTCTAAAAGAAGCAACAATATCACAATACATTACTTTGTTTAGATTTTGGATACTTGAGTTTATCACAATGGAATGTTTTTTCCTTTAAAATTCCTAATAAAATATGTAATATACGATTGGGAACCAAATTCAAATCTTTCATTTGACGACTGTTTCATCATTAAATTAATCGTCCATCATTAATTAATTGTTTCGGACAGAGCGTATTAACGATGATATATAAGTGATCAGGATACACTCACAATAAAAAATTCCAGCTACCGATATCCACGTGATCGACTTGTGTATATACACACTTAACCTAACCTAAACTTAAACTTCTATTCTACCAAATATTAAGACTTACAATAAGTATCATCACTCACAAGAGCCTCGGTAGCGCAGTAGGCAGCGCGTAAGTCTCATAATCTTAAGGTCGTGAGTTCGATCCTCACCCGGGGCAGATTTTTTTTGGTAGTTTATAAAAAAAATTACACATTACAATTGGTAAATAAAACATTTTATTATATATCATAGTTAAAATGATTAATTTATAATTAATTGTACAATATAATTACCAGGGCTGGATAAAATACTTTTCAAATTCCATTTAAAATATCAATTGTAAAATACTTTAAGAAACTGTATTTAAAATGCAAAATGCTAAATAAGTGTTTCAAATCTGTTTTAAGGGGGGACATCTAAGTAACTCAAAAAAAAAAAGCGGATTTTCTGGAATTTTTTTTGGCCAAATGAAAGAGCCAATCGAAAATTTGTAAAGTAGGTTTTATAATATTAGACACGAAGTACAAAATATAATTTTTTCAAATAAATCCAAAACAAAATGGCGGCTGTGCAGCATTTCTTCGTAGGCCCTATTTTTGCATGGCCGGACAGCTAACGTCCTTAATTTTTGATCTGGAACAAAAAATCAAGTTTGGTTAGTTTCTATACATCAACAGCTATCGACACACGTAGGATTTTTTCTTTATATTGCTTACTTTTTTTTTAACAACAATTTTGTGACGTTTTTTTTTCGTGAAAATTTAAATTTTTTTTCGATCACGCACCATTTTGCGAAAAATCAATTTATCGAAAAAATCCTACGTGTGTCGATAGCTGTTGATGTATAGAAACTAACCAAACTTGATTTTTTGTTCCAGATCAAAAATTAAGGACGTTAGCTGTCCGGCCATGCAAAAATAGGGCCTACGAAGAAATGCTGCACAGCCGCCATTTTGTTTTGGATTTATTTGAAAAAATTATATTTTGTACTTCGTGTCTAATATTATAAAACCTACTTTACAAATTTTCGATTGGCTCTTTCATTTGGCCAAAAAAAATTCCAGAAAATCCGCTTTTTTTTTTGAGTTACTTAGATGTCCCCTCTTAAATGTAAAATAGATAAATGATATTTTAAATGGTTTTTGAATGTAAAATGATTTTTCATGGTATACATTTTTAAAAATATTTTACATTTAAAATCCATTTTCAACGGAATTCGAAGTCCTGACTACAGTATTATAAATAAAGTATTTCTGTCCGTGTAACGGGAATATTTTTTATTTTTTAATATTAGAAGAAAGGCTCCTATATTGGCTACCCAGACAGGACATCCACTAAACATTCAAATTTAGTTTCAATCTGGTCCAAACAAACGTCCATGGACTTAGTACGATCAATATTTTAAAAATATTCATCAACGTACGTTATTCAACGTACAAAGTATGTTTACATTTGAATATTTAAAAAATGTTCATCTTATGCAAAAAATTTTCTAAATCTGCTCACGACGTATTGCTTTCTCTGACTTGATAAGTGGAAATTTTTGTAAATCGTACAAGGAGTTTTACCTTCGGTAACGAAAATTTATCAAATTCAAGCTTAGTTCAAACAGTACGCAGCAAGCGTCGAGCAGCAAAAGCTTGCTGCTTGCAGTGATAAAGGTGCATATATCATACGCCTGCATATATGCATACATCAAGTGCCAAACAGCGGAAGCAGCAATCAATCAGCGATATATGCAGTGGCGTCAACTGTAAAAAAATATTTTCTACGCCACTGCTGACGCGTCGCTCAGTTGGATTTTAATGCTATCAGCAAGCAGCAAGCATATTGCAACAATTAGGTTAGGTTCAATAAAGATGCATTCACGTGTAAGCGTTAAACGTCAAGCAGTGGAAGCAGCAATCAATCAGCGATATGTGTAAATATTGGTGTAAAAATATTTTTTACACCCATTGAGGATAGAGACTAAGGCTGCATTTTCATGTTGACATTCGAATCGAGCATCGAGTGTCAGCATAAAAATGTAGCCTAAGGAGACCGAACTAGGGTTTAAAAAATGTGGTTAAAATCAAATTTCTAAATTGGTATTGATGGTGCTCAATAGACGGCGTTCGAATCGCAAAACTTATCTTATATACGCTTAGGTACATACAACCGAACACACATAATCTAAGAATAGAGATGTTATTCTTTGACATCATGCTCTGACAATAATAGGAAGACGTAAATTTATATAAATTGTCATTAAAACTGCATAAAAAATAGAGCATTCTTCATGTAAAATTAGTAGATCAGAGAGAAACCTGAGAAAGAACATGACAGTGAGATATAATCGTGTTACATGTAGCACTATTATATGAACCAAATATCGATTTATCATCTCCAGCCTTGAAAAGTAGATGCTATGTAGTTTACATCCACTTTGTCAGAGAGCAGTAATGCGCGGCAGCATTTTGCGGTTACAGGTTTTGGTCCGTCATGTTCTCTTTCAGGTTTCTCTCTGATATGACCTACTATGCAAACTGCGAGAACGGTGACATGGAACAAAAGCGACATCTCGATCGAATTAATTCTAATGACTACTTTTATACACGCTTTTTGATGGCCTTATCCATATAAGTTCGATCTTCTTAAGCACAGATTTTTGCATAACGCATAAGACGTAATGCATAAGAAAATGTACTAATTAATGTCCTTCGTTTCCTTCCTTTCCATGAAATA